ATACCGAATATTAAAAAAAGTAGCCGAATAGGCCGAATACCGAATAGTAGCCGAATATTCGTGGCATCTCTACTCTTAACATTTCCATTGTTAACACTTCCATTCTTAAAACATTTATGTTTACACTTCCATTGTTAAAAAATACACTTCTTCATCCCTCGTGGTACTCTACTAAATGTGGTAGCCTACTAAAACGCAGTCAAAAACTCAAAAGACCCAGTGGCATGCCGTCATTAGAAGCGGTGGAAGCGCCGCTTCCCTCGTATTTTCTAAAAAATAAATAAATATTAATTTTAATTATACGAAAATAATCGCACAATATTTCATTATAACCGCATTATGTATCTTATTACAAACTTCTATACTACACGTGAAAAAAAAATTGCTATTGTATATTCGAATATTAGTGGCAGAGTGGAATCTCTAAAATTTTCAGATTCCAAAAAGCCAGATTTTGCGCACGCGCTTTACAGAGCACCAACCTCACCCGGTTTAGCCGGTGGAAGCCTACGATCTTGGGTGGAAGCTGCACACATATAACGATTCCAATTCTATCCGGGACCGGTTCTGGGCTGTTAGCCGCCTGCCCACTAGATATTTCGATTACGTGAATAACGAGTAGATTTATAACTTAACCCAACTGATAAGAATTTACTGGTATGTTTTTACGGTAGTTCTGTATAGTTGACAGGAGTTTAAAAAAATCCATTAAAATATTTGATATATTTATTCCGCTTTCCGATTTTATATTACTCACGGATTTCGATGTTAAACCAATGATATTACGATTTCGTACATCCCATCTTTAAAAGGGGATGTAGAAAAAAACGTGTACAATTCTTGTATAATGTTAAAAAATTAACCGTTACTTCGATAGCGTCATTTACAACTAAATTTAATGAATATGAGAGATGCACAAGATACAGAAAAAGCTCTAGAATTTATTTTCCTTAAATTTACGATTTACGAGGCTACCGTCCACCAATGGACGAGTAGATAAAACCGTTGATCGGTCTTCAGTGGTTTTATCTACTGAAGACAGGTTTTGAAGGGTTGGCCACGTGTTTTTCGGGTTTTCTTTATATTTGTAATTGTCACGTCGTGTCTAGCCACAGCTAGTAAAGAGCGAGTCAAGCGCAGCGCCCAAGGACTTGGCTGTCCGATTTATAAGCTGAGAAACCGCGGCCACTTCTCTTCTTTGGACCTGTTCTGTACATATAAATGTGTACAGCAAATAAGCGTGTAATGTGTTAAAGTCTTGTATCTATTTACTTCCTCAGACACGATTCAAGTAAGATTCCGGGAATCTTACAGAAACACTTAATATAGAACATCCTAGGAGGTCTTTCTATTGTATCCCGTATTCGACCGAACGTTAAATAATTTAATGTTTATTCTTTGTTCTATCAAAAGTACTGAAAGTTATATATCATATTAGAATATTTTAAGTTAAGTTTTATTTAATTTTTAATGTTTGTTTTTCCTGTCGTTGCGCGTTTTAGAGTACATGGACTAGAAACTTTGTACTTCTAAATATAATCGATTCTGTAGTATTAAGGTTAACATTGCTAAAATTACATTTAATTATCAATTTAAAATATTATATTTTTTAAATATTTAATTACATTAATTAATATGATTTCCGCATAGTGTAATTTTAAAGGTAAGTATTTTAGCTTTACATTATATTGCCTTGAGAAAAAGAATGAATGTCAAATGAATTGAGTAATAATACACAGAAATAAGATAATCTGTAATAAATTATGTCAGGGTCGGACTCTACTAATCGATCTACGATTAGACTATGTACTAGTGTTATTAAAAAAAAAATAACTCGGATGTACTTTGTTAGACAGCCGCTGCATATGTAAGCAACACTATAAACCATATGCGTATAAAGTAGGAGTGTATATTGGTGGTTGGTACCTTTGTCTAACGTGTCCGCCCGACACAAACAAGAATCCCTTATCACTTGATGGGAATCAATCAAAGGTCAGGATCGGTTTCGTTTGACCTTTGATTGGTCAGAACACCCAACTTAAATAAGCAAATGGAAGAGGATAAAAGATGACAGAACGGAATAGGCTAGGGGTTTCTCGAGTTATTAGTCATGTACAGCATAATAGTCTTGTAAATATTTTATACAGCATGTAATATTTTGTCTTATAATGAATGTGCATTAGAAGTATTGTACGGTACATACTCTTGATTCGACTGATGATGTCTATTTTACCAAGAAATGGAGATACGCGGACCCGACTCCTTCGAGAAGAGGGTAAAGATAGAAAGTTTGAAGACAAGAAGCCACCTTCCGGGGAAGTAATGAAAACGATGGTAAAGCAACAAAAACGACTTTACAGGAAAACAACTTTTACAAACGATATGCAGTAGAATAGACCTGACTAATTGTTATTATCTTGCCGAAATTCTAAGACAATGGTCACCTTCATTTAGTTCTAAATTACCAGGTTTATTAGCTATTATAAAAATGACACATCATACACACGAAATTAACAGATACAAAGGATCCCATATTTCAGTTAACTAAAACTAACACAACTCTCCATGCCATCGCAGAGGGGGGCAAACGGAACACTTGACCCTTTCTGTGATTGATTAAATACTCCATAAATGGTAATCATAAAAGTGATAGAGATACGTAATTTTACACCTTCGACCATGGATTTATCTGTCAAAATCTCTTGTCTGTCTTAATTAAACAATGCTTAGAAAAAAATAATAAAAATAGGACTGAATACTTCTGTCATTTTTCTTTACGACACGCAAGATAACCTTTGAACACTAAAAAAATATTTTAATTAAAAAATTGTATAAAATTAAATTTAGATATCAATATTTATNGCGAGAAGAGACGAGACGCAATAAATATCAAAACCTGTCAGATATGTGCCAGAACCAGGAATTCGCTCTCGCCAGCGTTATTTCTCGCTTCTCGTTTGTGCATGGGTTTCCTTTGCGAAAACTAAATCGCTCGCTCTAAATTCGCATCTGCATAGTAACACCCTAATGTCTTCCATTTACTAAAACTACAATAGAGAATTGGATTACACATTTGTCTCCTAGATAACCTACATTTTAATGCTTATATGTTTTGCCACTAATGAATATAGCAATTTTCACTTTTTACCCGTTCTGGCAATAAAAGTGGCCATAAATGGTTTAGCAATTTTCATTTGTGTCTCTTATAAAGACTCGATTGCTACAGTATTTATGGACAGTACCTACCTACATCCCTGGTTTAGTAAAGATTAGATAGGTATTTACTTAATATTTACTAAACCAGCTCCTCAAATGTCCAAAAATAAAAGGTATCTATTTATCTGTTAATTAAATAACTACTAGTGTAATGAATTATAAAATATTCTTGTAAAACTATATAATATAATTTGTTAATTAGGTATGGGACATACTATATTACAAAGAAACGCAAGTGTTATGCTCAAATTAACATGTCTTTGACAATTTTAGGTCTGCAGGAATGACACCTTTGTCTTTTTTCAAGTTTTGATAAATAAATTACTGTAATTAAGTTAAAAGATATCTACAGGCATTATTCTTGATTTGTAGCCATGTTATTTACATTTCACTAGCTGTGAGAGAGATTATTCTTTATAGTTTGCTAATTACATTTGCTTTTCAAAAACAATGTTATAATACACCATATGTATATATAGTATATAATATTGCTGTATAATAATTAAATTATTATACATGAAATCAAACTACCTTGTATATTATGTAAAAACAAAAACTTAGATCCTTAAGCATTTTTAAGTTTGTAAAAATTTAAAAACTTAAGTATATTATATATTGGCTATTTAAAAACAATACAAATGAAAGATTTAAATACAAGTAAAATTTACTGTCTTTTAATCAATTTACATAATCATAGGTAGGGAAGAGTCTCGGAGGAAAGGTCTTTCAGTATTAATAGAACTTCTGCGGTTAGAAATGATATTAGACAACAAATATTATTTGTATTTAGTCTTGTATTTGTATTACTTTTAAAAGTTAAGTTTAAATTTATTTGATTATTTCTATTAACCAAAAAAATTTATCTTGTGTATTTGGAAATAGTTTAGATAGTGTTTCTATTTAAATAAGTATTATCAAAGCTATGCGTGACATTATCATTATTAACCTATACAGTAGAGTGTAGATTATCCGAATCAATTGGGGACTGGGGTTGTTCGGAAGATCGATGTTTCGGATAACCGATTATGTACGAAAAAATATATTAATTTATCCCATCTTGACATTTTTCTCCGTTGTGTGTCGCTTCGCCATTGTATCGTTAAAAATTATTTTTTTATTTTGTACGAACAAAATAAATATATTGAAAAATATAAAAACAATAAAAAATTATACTTCAGAAGTTAATTTAGTATCAAAAACGTAAAATATTTGAGTAGCCCAAGACATAGCCAAAGATTGCAGCGCCACAGCATTGGCGAAAATTTAAATTTGCCGACTGGAATTCTTTCGGATGATTGTCTTTCGGATAATCGACGCTCTACTGTAATTTACAAATATAATAATTTTTTTTTTGTATTATGAAGACCACTTCTAAACGACACGAACAATAATCTCTAATAGAGGAAATTTTAAACACAACATAATAAAAAATTTCATTACATTTGTACATCGCAAAAACAACGCATGTAAGTTATATACAAAATATCTACAGAATTATCTGTTATTGGAATTTGTCCATACAATGATTAATTTCAAGGATCGAGGTGTAGTTTTTCACAATATTTGTTGGTGAAGAATGAAGAAAAATCCGACATCGACCCTTTGCAAGATATATATTCGCCTCCAAATGTGGAACCCAACGGCAGTTGCGGTCGCTATCCTGTTTGCGGACGTCACGCTTGCAAGCGTGTTATGTTATAAGCACTGCGATTAGTGCCAATAACAAATAAGAAATGCATTAACTTCTACTGACCGAAAACAATTTTTATCTTGAACCAGTACTAATGCCTGTTCTCCATATTCCGCGTTGTCAAGGTTAGCGATCGCTCGCCTTTACCGACGCCTCGCATGTAGTCGCGCGCTTCGGTGCTCGCTATCGCTCGGATCTCGGCGCCAGGGTGGGAGCAAGCACCTCATACTATCTAAAACTATATAATTTCAAGTACTCCACGAACAGTCAAGTGGGCTACTCGATGCCGGCATAGTCGCTTGGGTTAAATACTTAACCAGTTATCAATAGCTGCCAGATGCCAAATGAATATTGTCAGTCAGCTAAGGGTGCAACTATGCAGATGCGAGCGAGCGAATTTTTCGAGCGAGCAAGAATATGTGGCGAGAAGAGACGAGACGCAATAAATATCAAAACCTGTCAGATATGTGCCAGAACCAGGAATTCGCTCTCGCCAGCGTTATTTCTCGCTTCTCGTTTGTGCAAGGGTTTCCTTTGCGAAAACTAAATCGCTCGCTCTAAATTCGCGTCTGCATAGTAACACCCTAATGTCTTCCATGTACTAAAACTACAATAGAGAATTGGATTACACATTTGTCTCCTAGATAACCTACATTTTAATGTTTATATGTTTTGCCACTAATGAATATAGCAATTTTCACTTTTTACCCGTTCTGGCAATAAAAGTGGCCATAAATGGTTTAGCAATTTTCATTTGTGTCTCTTATAAAGACTCGATTGCTACAGTATTTATGGACAGTACCTACCTACATCCCTGGTTTAGTAAAGATTAGATAGGTATTTACTTAATATTTACTAAACCAGCTCCTCAAATGTCCAAAAATAAAAGGTATCTATTTATCTGTTAATTAAATAACTACTAGTGTAATGAATTATAAAATATTCTTGTAAAACTATATAATATAATTTGTTAATTAGGTATGGGACATACTATATTACAAAGAAACGCAAGTGTTATGCTCAAATTAACATGTCTTTGACAATTTTAGGTCTGCAGGAATGACACCTTTGTCTTTTTTCAAGTTTTGATAAATAAATTACTGTAATTAAGTTAAAAGATATCTACAGGCATTATTCTTGATTTGTAGCCATGTTATTTACATTTCACTAGCTGTGAGAGAGATTATTCTTTATAGTTTGCTAATTACATTTGCTTTTCAAAAACAATGTTATAATACACCATATGTATATATAGTATATAATATTGCTGTATAATAATTAAATTATTATACATGAAATCAAACTACCTTGTATATTATGTAAAAACAAAAACTTAGATCCTTAAGCATTTTTTCAATACAAATAACAAAACAAAAGCAGCAGACTATTTTGTTAAATTATGTAAATGTAATGTGCATATAAAATAAAACATGCTTAATGATGATAATTTTATTTTTGTAACTGTTGCATTATAAAATATATATTATTAATAAAAGTTTTTATTTTTCCTTAGAATGCGGGTTTAAAATAGATGATGAGTCGATTCGAACGTTAAAATTGATTCCGTTTGAAATACTAGAAACAGCAAAAGCTGGTAAGAAATAATTTTATGATATTAAAGTGTTGTACTATTTGAACAAAATACATTATTAAAATCAGCACACCAAGAAGGAGTTGTTGGAATCAAATGAAATTGTACATGTGTGAATATAACAGTGATGTAAGTAAATGGTTACAAAATACAATCAAAAGGATCATTTATTGCAGGAAAAATTACGAATGGAAGGAGGTTCTAGTACACCTCTTGGGCCACCTCTAGCTTGAATACATGTGATACAGGCATACAGGTGATGTATGATGTCCTGCAACATTTTAGTCCTTTCCCTCTCAAACTTGATTAGTTGTTCATATGGTCTTCGATTGAGATGTGTTTCAGAGAGACTCTGTATCACTAGAGGCATCTCTAGTGATACAGAGTCTCTCTGAAACAGTAAACTACAGGATACCTTTACATGCATATTTACATGCTTATTTTATAGGCCAAGAGGGATGCAATTTAATGCTCTTTGCTGGCATTATGCAATGAATCATCACACTATAACTAATCATTTCCATATCTGCCCCATGTAGTGTTAATTTCAGACATTTTTCTTCGAGGGAATTTTTTGGGGAAATATATTCTTATAACAGATTCCCGTTGGTGGGGGCCCCAGTAAGATAATGTGCCACTTAAAATAAACTGTATTCATCAGTATTTTATCATAAAAACAAATATTTTAAATCCACTTTAAGTGATAATTGTCAAGTTTATATTTCATAAATTGATTTCAAATTCAATGAATGATAAATTCAAAAATATTTTTGAATCTTTTGTTTAGTTTATGTAATGTGTAAACTTAAATGCTTACGAGTCTTTAAAATTTATACGGAAACCTTCTTAAAAATATATTGCATATTACAAAAATATTTAAATTAGAACATGTATGACTAATTCATAAAATATATTTCAAATATTGATTAATTAATTTATTTTTCAGGTGAACAAATTGGTAAAATACCTATAACTATTACTTCAAACTCTACAAATTCAGAAAATAAGTTGTCGTGTAGTCCTGAAGAAATAAAGTGTCATTTAGAAAATGAATCAGTAGTAGTAACTTTGGCTAAAGATGTTGTCCATTATCCTGATAAAGTAAGTTATAATATTAATTAATTAATATATTATAAGTCATTGAAAATTCTATGAATAAATGACAATAAAGATAAACGACTTCCAACAACTTAACACTGCGTTGAATAATAACAATCCACGAAAAAACCTTTTTTTACGCGTGTTATGTCACAATTAAATTCCACAAGTACTTTCGACCTCCACCGAGGTCTGCTTCAGGTGGTGAGTGTCGACCCGACCGTTGTAACGATGTTGCCAACGATGTAAATAAATAAACGTGCGCGTCGGGTTTCACCCCTCCGACCGCCATTGCTCGAACTCCTCGAATAAATACTTCCACGCCTGTGCAAGTGTTTCCCCATCCCTGTAGTTGATGCAGTTGCCCCCCATGATAGCTTTGTGAATCTCCCAGGCCTCCAGGTGACGGATGTCACCTGGAGGCCTGGGATCAGACACTTATCAGACACGCGTTCTGCGCGGATCACATCCGTCACCTGGAGGCCTGGGAGATTCACAAAGCTATCATGGGGGGCAACTGCATCAACTACAGGGATGGGGAAACACTTGCACAGGCGTGGAAGTATTTATTCGAGGAGTTCGAGCAAGGGCGGTTAGAGGGGTGAAACCCGACGCGCACATTTATTTATTTACTTCGTTGGCAACATCGTTACGACGATCGGGTCGAAACACGGCCAGTCACCACCTGAAGCAGACCTCGGTGGAGGTCGAAAGTACTTGTGGAATTTAATTGTGACATAACACGCGTAAAAAAAGGTTTTTTCATGGATTGTTATTAATGACAATAAAACATAACAATGATAATTTCAAAACATAATAAATAAAAAAAATTTTAAAAGTTCTATGAAAAATAAATGTAATTCTTATGAGCATATTTTAAAGTTTTATTTTGCTTAAAAGATTTTAGAAATAAATATTATAAAACTTGTTTTACTTAAATTGTTTACCTATAATTGTATTTTTGTACAATACATGTTAAAATGTGAATTGAAGTCAAAACTATTGAAGATATAATATAAAAATACATTTTTTTTATAGAAAAGTTTATATATTGTAGAATTTATCAATCATTTTCTACATTTAATATTCTATATTCAAAATTCTTAAATTGAATTTTGAACATAGAACATTAAAATTATGAATTGGAAACCATATATTAAAATTAATACAGCATATAACAATAAAATTGCTGTATTTATTTTAAGCAATGTAAATCATCTAAAACTTATTTCTCTTAAATATAAATAAACCAAATTGATTTCAGAAATTAATGTCAGATTATCATTTGCAATACAATAATTTTGGCATAAGAAAAAGCCTTCTTTGAAAGATATGCAGTAAAATCTGTCCAAAATGGAACCTGAATATAAAGGAAACTTGCCTAAATGGAAAAAATTCTTTAGAATGGAATAATTTTCTATGTTAAAAAGAACCTGTTCAAAACATTATCTTGCTAAACTGAAAAATATTCTATACTATGTGATTCTGGTTTATACAGGTTTTACTGTATTATAAATTATTTATAATTCAATTAAATTTATGAAATTACAATTAAATAATAAATTTGACTTTATAACATATATGTTATGATTAACATAGCATTTAATTTCTTTGCATTTTTAGCTTTTTTATGAAAAAAATGTTTTTAATTTAATATTTTTCAGTCAAAGATTACATTGAGCTGTAACTTGCAATGTAAATCAGAAGACAATCAGGTAATATTTTATAATGAAATATTCTCTCTATGTAATGAGTTTTATATATTTTTTAAAAATCATTTCAAAACATAAATGATGAAGCAAAATTGTAATATGAAAAATTTATTTATTGCATGATTATATTTTTAAATACCGGTGCATTTATTTACAGTCAAACCCTGCTTTTCCACCTGTTTATCTAGATTTCTGGAATATTCAGATTGGCTTAAATAGTCATTTCTTTTTAAATTTTTACACATTTTGTGGAAAAATTATTTCTTTTTAATGTAGCCCAGGGATTGCTAATTGTACAGACTTAGCACACTTTGTAGATTAACTGATGAAACAGTCAGAGATCAAGTTCAAAAATATATGCTTTATTAATATTAGAAATGCATTTCAGACTCATAGTCCCTTATGAGTGCAAACAAAAAAAATTACTTTCTGAAATATTTGTGAGATCATGGAAACATTATTTACAACCTTAATATGTACCGAAGAAGCAATCTCACATTTTCAAGATCAAAATACATATTATTTGTATGCACTGTGCAATTTGTATGCAATTTTACTGACTTAAACTCTGCTCAAAAACATCTGATTCCAGCAACTCTAACTCTACAATACTGCTTGGAACACAAGTTTTTATAATATTTGTCCATCAATTGTATGTTGTGATTAGTCTCAATCCCTCATCCTTACTTCCTGATTGGTCTTTTACATATTTCCAGGGATAATTCAAGATCAATTCAGCCCACAGAAAATCTCGACACTGATTTCCAATCCCAACTAGAGATGTTTACTGATGTGTAAAGTAGGGATTTTCAGGTCAACCATCTTCCACGTATAGGATGGAAATGAAATAAAAGAAAGATCCATAAAATCTTTCCTTATAAAAGTCCTGATGCTAGTTAGGATAAAATTTAATTGCATCCTAACTCAAAAATCTATTATCTTCCAAGTGGAAGAAGATATATTTAGAAATTTGACCAGAATTTTAGGAGGGTTTAGTTTTAGATGTTAACAACATGAAATACGTGGATTACATGAATTTCATGGCCAACAATAGAGTTAGGAATCAATCAGTTAAGCAACAATTAATTAAGAACATATAGATTTTAATAAATAAATATATAGATATCTATCATACATACATACATACATACATTAAATGGAGGTTCAATAAAAACTATGTTATGAATAAAAATAATAATATTTCATCTTGATACTCTTACAAGAGAGAGGACTTCAAATCCTAAACCACTAAATCTATCCTGATAAGAGAAAGTTTACATATTTGAGTTAAACTTAATACCATCATTTCAGCTCCTTATTTTCTTCTGAGTCTTTTACGGGGCTGATCATGGTTTCCTGCATTTGGTGAGAAACTCTTTTAGTCCAGACATGAATTTTCTTGAGTTCGGTTTCCCAGTTCAACAATTGACCATTTGTCTTTGGCCCTATTTATAGGATTTTAATCGTCCAATGATTAGGGATGATTTGAGTCACCTGAAGAGAGAAGCAACAAGGAACCTCCTTCTTGAGTTGATATCAAAGTCAACATCTCTTCTCAGGAACTTCCTTCTAAATCAAAAGAAAGTTCCTCTGACTTATAACTACAAATAAAAATGGTTGTTGTTTGTCAAATTTTTAAATTTTATCAATTTAAGCTAAAAGTATCGGCTCCAGATTCTCACACTGATCTTGGGATTACATACAGTGACCTCTCACTTATATGTCTCTCATTTAACCAACTCTCTCAGTTATGAGACATTTTTCACTGGTTGTGACAGAAGCCTAGGGGGAGATAATGTTTAAAGTCTCTCATTTGAATGACACTTTCAGTTCTACTCCCCTACAAATAGTTTAGACTAAAGTATTTTTCCCTCACTTTACTATTATGATTGTCAATCACAAGAACTGAATGGGTTACTTTGTAATAAATCATACAGGTGTTCTCGAAGATAAGAAAACAGAGATGATTATCATACTGGACATAAATGTTTTTAGAAAGAGAATGGCTGCTGACTATATGTTTAAATGATAAAACAAGTGGTAATGTCATTAATATCAGTTTATTTTCAATCATTAAAAATATTTTCAGTATGTAATTTAGATTTTAATTTTAATTACCTCACTAATTTTGGTTTACTTGAATTTTCATTAATCCAGATTGGGTCCAATTCCAATTGAGCCTGATAAATGGGATTTGACTATTTATTTTTAATAAAAACTAGACAACAGTTTGACTTACACTGAAGATGGATAGATATGTTTAAAATGAATTTATGTCATACATTGTATATCAAAATATAATAGATGAAAGGATTTCATATAAGTTTAATCACATACAAAAAACTAAATAAAAAATAAAATACAGTTTAAATGAAACATAAGTAAAAGCTCTTTCACCTTCAATATTTGAAAGTAAATATTCAAATGGAAGATTTTATATAAAACAGAAAATAAATTCAAATGTTAGTAGATTTATAACAATAAAATGAACAAAAAATAATAATAATCATTTTAAATTAAACCAAATTGAAATAAAATTAATTTAAATAGCAAAAAAAAGTAATATTAAAAATCTCAGATCTTTTGTTTGATCCTTTCAAAATTACATTTTTTTTCCCTTCCTGTCTCAACTTGTTGATGACTGGCCTGTTGTTTCCAATAGTGCTTTATAGTTTCATAGAACCCAGGCAAATTTGAATTAAGAGGTTTCATGCGCAGTGTTAAAATTAATTAATTAACTTCAGATATTTTTCTTCTGGGAAATTTTTGGGGAAATATTTTGTAATATGTAAAAGATTGGTTTGAGGCTCCTTGTTGGTATAGATCCCAGACAAGTGCCATTTTTGCCTGTAGACTAATGCACCACTAGTTGTTTCATTTACATATTGCAAAACACGTGTCTTTTATATATTACATTTATTTTTAACAGAAAACACACATCCAATATGGATTTATATTTTTTGTATTCATCTTCATGCTGTTTGATTAAAAGTGAATAAAAAATGCCAACTAGAAATAGTAGAAGAGCTTCCTTCTTGAATCTGACCAAGCTTCATTTAATCCAAATTTTCTTTTATTTTTGTTATTTATGTGATCAAAAGTCATTTTTGTGTGAAATGTCATTTCACACAAAAAAAATGAAACAAACAAACAAACAGCACATGCAGTTTGTTTGTGCATTTTGAATGTAAATGTAACAATCTGGTTATCTAAATAAATTTTCTTAAGTTTTGAAACTTTATTATAAGTTAGGGATTTAATTTAGAACTACAATTTTATTTTTTGACATTTGATAAAAATGCTCTGTTATATTATCTATTAAACATATAGTCTCTCTAGCTCCTAAGAAATTGTTTTTTTCATTTTTATTATAAAATTAGTAAATAAACTTTAAAAAATTCATTTCTTAATTTTAAATCTTGATGATTTTAGAGAGGGAATAAAATTCTTTAATAATTATATCAATAATTTAAATTTATAATAATTGAAGTTTATGTTGTTGTTCTGTTTTCAGGATTTAGAATATCTGTTTCATGTTAAAATTAAAGATGTAAACAATAATCATCCTACATTTGGAAAGAAAGTTTATGAATTTAATGTACTAGAAGTAAGTGTATATAAAGTATTAATTATTTTTGTATTATTTTGTTGTATTAGGAAAAGGATCTGTTCAGTTATGACAATTTGTTCATCTATTTCTGCTTAAGATAATTTGAATATCGTATTTTTGAAATATACTTTAGAAGAAAATTCAAGATATAATGGAAAAAAACATTATAAAGTAAAAGATAAATAATTCAAATGTTTCAAAATATTTCTGATAAACCCAAATACAGGAAATTCTTGCTAGTTTGAAATACTGGAGACAAAATATTTGAATTATCTGAAATATAATATGAACAAACTCAAGGTAAACAGCACATGTTCAGTGAGAACCTCACAGGTTGCCTGATAACCTTGTGGAGAAGGTTAATATACCAAGGTATATTATGTCTATATGTGGGTAGAAAAATGAGGACTTCACAATATAATCATTAGAAAATTGGTAACACATTTATTTATATACACCTTAGGCATCAAATAGCACAACATTATGATGTACAAGGGTTAGACACTACGCTTAAATGATTACAATTTTTCAATTTTTTTTGACAAATCAAATGAGTATATCATGTGAAAGTGAGCATAGACAAAATATATTTACAGTATATAATGACACATGTAACTCAATCCTCCTGGCGCAGAACAGGGGATCTTTCTAGTTATCAATCTTCTCTTTCTTAGAATATCGTACACATCCACCATGTGCTCTTAGACAAAGTGTATTAAAATTTACAGTCCTCTTAATTTTATTAATCTTCTTCATGAATATCTTCTAAATATCTCGGCCTTACCATTCATACTCGGTGATTAGTATTTCTTTGATTACCTTCACTTGATGATAACTTGGATTCCCTTATAGTCCATCCAAAAGCACCAAGGAACAAATGAAAAAAGATCTTCACTCAGGTTGTACGCTCCTTTTTATAGTTCCCTCTATCTGGGGATCTTTTCTGTCATGTGGTCTAAAGGTTAGCCAATAGGCAGCATGTAGCTGCATGACCGATAACTGGTGAAATGTGACAAAATGAACCACACATGATATAACAAAAGAAAAAAAAACCGGCACAGCTAACAAAACACCAATACAAAAAACAAAACAAACAAGATAAAAATAATTACAACAGTCACGTAGCACTACAACCTTTTTAAAAAATAAAGTAAAATTCTTTGAAATGTAGCCCAAATTATTTTTAAAGTGGCCCAAAAAGTAATAATTCATGGTACCCAAAAGTAGTAGCTTAGAGCACTACAAATATCTCAATTTGCTACTTGTAGTGCAATCTTGCATTTCCGAAACCCAGCCATATTTTTGAAATAAGAGAAAAAAAGAATATCTGTATGTAAGATGACACCTGAAAATGTGTTACTGTAAAAGCAAAGTCATATTGACCAGATTAGAGTTATTATTTGTCTATTGCTCTCTTAAAGCATGGAGGCACTTTGATCTAAACAAACAAGTTAACATAGGCATATCACAGTTTGGACAGAATTTTCACTTTGAATTATGATGTAGCTGTATTTTGAACTAATCAAATTCCTTAACATGTAAATCTCAATATTCCCAACCAGGACAAAAGTACAATTATGAACTAATGAGATTTTGAATTATCCGAGTTCAAATTAACAAGGATTTCTTGTATTGTTTTTAATAACTGAATATGAGAATAAACAATGAAAATATCTTTTAATAATCAAATATATGATCAACGTATTTTGCCATAAATTTAATGTATCGTTTTTCAGCAATTGATTTAAAACTGTGCAACATACAAAGTGCACTAAAATATTTACCCAAGTTTTATAACTTTTTGAGTATAAATTAGAATAAGAGGAAAAAGTTCACCAGATTTTAATTTTAAGATTTGATTATACAGTGTATTTATAAAAAAAATTCCTGGAAGTGGGAGATAGATTCTTCCTGGAAGTGGGAGATAGAGCTTGTTTAGATAAGCAAAAAATATAGAGTAACATATTTGCAAATTTGCAATAGTTACCAAAATATTTGAGGTTAAAGTTTTGCCAAATGATACTAGAATGGACCACCATTACACACCTGCTAACTGTTGACCTATGACTGAAAAAGGAAAGACATATTGAAAGGCAATCACAAAAAGTGATCTTTATGGTTATTTTTGTTCCTCTAAACTGGCAACACTGGAATTCTAAAACAACCTTGAGATGTCTTTTTACTGAAATATTTCTGCTTTATTTCACACAAAACTTTCAGTAAAAAAGACTTGCATTTTAGGAAGAAACTATTGCATATTTTCATTTTAAAAAGTTTGGTTCAATAATTCTATGTTTAAACTATCATTTTTCAGATATACATCTTTAAAATGATAGTTTAAATAGTGATAACAATAGCACAATAATAGTTAACAATATCTTTCACAGGTTTCCAACAGTACCTAATGTTGCAAATTCAAAGTGCAAACATTTTCAGCCCCATTCAGTGGCCAACTTCATGCATTTTCACCAAAGACATATATTGGCAGTCAAACTTTTCAAATATTCTGTAATTTTTTCAAATTTGTCACTAGTTTTGAACTTGTATTACAATTTTAATATTTTTAAATCATATTTTTAAGTAATGAATTAATGTCTGTATATGTAGTCTGTGTTTGGAAGAGTCCACTAGAAGCTGTAAGTTTTTTTAGGGTCTAAGGAAAAATCTCCAGCTCCCATTGCAATGGCCCTGTGGGTAATACTATAATTGACTTATGGCTATACAAGAATTATTATACCGTACAAAATTTTATATTTTTTCATGATAAAATCACAAGGATTTATATTCGATTCAAACCTGAATTTTCCTAAAATTTTTATTGTCTTTCTTCATAATTACCAACATTAAGAAGTAAAATTTTAGGAAGGGTAAAAGGGTAAAATTCAATGCCAGCTCATTGGTAACTTGGAACTGAGGTGAAACAGATTTTTGCTGTCCCTGCATCCAGAATGGTTGCAATAGGAAGCACTTCTAATGGTAGGATTTTTGTGTGAACAATTTATAAACAACTTAATATATTTACTGTATTTGGCTTATTATTTTTATTTATTTTTTTCCTTTTAAACATTTTTTACCTCTCATTTTGCCAGCCTTTTCACTTTGCTGCTTGAGATAGTTGTCTTATCACCTTGCGCATTTAGTCAGCTAGTAAAACTGTGTGTATAAATAAATAATGTATAAATTGATTAGAGATGGGCAGTAGTTAACTACTCTCAACATAGTTAATTGATAGTTACAATTACTGTCCCAATTTAATAATTAAATTACTAGTTTACCACTTGTTTGGTTTCAGCTACTCTAATAATTCTTTTTAATTTACTATAATTTTGCCTTATTGTAATCTGTTGTCTTAAGCAGAGTGAACACATCTTGAGTTTTTATTCAAATTCATTGTGATTAGTTATGAAGNATAGTCCGACGTTTTTTAATCCGACATGCTCAGTAGTCCGACGCACCTCCCGTAAAGGTACCCGTCCCCGTTACGTGTCTGCATGCACAGAAGCATGTTGCGATGTGAATCTCCCCATCCAATTCTTACTCGATGACACACATTTCGTGTGTTTTATGTGAGCAGTTCTGTTCAAACAGTTGGAGTAGAGAATATTGTAAGTTACTGCTAGCAAAACAATGCAAAATATATAATTATTTTCGGTAATCCGGACACTTTTGGTAATCTGACACACCTTTGGTCCCATACCTGTCGGATTATCGAGGGACAACTGTATTTATTATTTTACAACTTTGTTTGCTTTGGTTTCATTTATGACTAACATTACATTATAATATACCATAGGATATTAATTTTAAAAAGACAAACTATTGTTAATAAAAATTTAAAATTTATCAGTTTAGTTTCAAGATTATGCAAATTTAAAGAAATCTGTATATTAAAATAAAAAACTTTTGCTACCTGAAAATGTGCTTTGCCTGCAGTAGATTTGTTTGAAACATTTAATGTTAAGTTCAGTTAAATTTATGCCAATATATTGTTTGTTTTGTTGAATTTAATATTCTCTACATCCTTAAATTACCTTATATTTAGCATTAAACTGACTTTAGAAAAGAATAAATAAATTGGTAGGGGATTTGTCAGGAGAATAAGAAAGGTGTGTTAGTTCTATAATTCAGGCTTTATCAAAAGTTTTTAATCATTACAGAATGAGATCACACAAAAACCAGTTTCTTTTTCCAGAAAAGAAATTTTATTATTTTAATTATTTTAAACAAATGTTCTAAAGTTTGTACATAGTATTTTTTATTCAGAACAAGTTTTTAACTTGATAGAATAAANTAGAAATAGTAGAAGAGCTTCCTTCTTGAATCTGACCAAGCTTCATTTAATCCAAATTTTCTTTTATTTTTGTTATTTATGTGATCAAAAGTCATTTTTGTGTGAAATGTCATTTCACACAAAAAAAATGAAACAAACAAACAAACAGCACATGCAGTTTGTTTGTGCATTTTGAATGTAAATGTAACAATCTGGTTATCTAAATAAATTTTCTTAAGTTTTGAAACTTTATTATAAGTTAGGGATTTAATTTAGAACTACAATTTTATTTTTTGACATTTGATAAAAATGCTCTGTTATATTATCTATTAAACATATAGTCTCTCTAGCTCCTAAGAAATTGTTTTTTTCATTTTTATTATAAAATTAGTAAATAAACTTTAAAAAATTCATTTGCTATTTTTTTGAAGTAGAGATTATTTAGCATAAATTTGCAAAATGTTTGTGAGAATATTTGATTTCTTTTGAAATTTCAAACATTTTCTAAGCTTCAGTGGTCCAAAGCAGAAAAAAACTGAATTGTCAATATTTTATGGTAATATACAAAATACACAAGATATATTTTCTATATTTCTTTCCTGGCTGCTATATAATATAACAGAGGGAAAGTATGGCAATTGGTCAAAAAATGACAACTTCTCCAGATTTTTACATTGTCAGACTCAGGACCTTGAAACACCAAGAAATGCATAAAAAAAATTCAGAGATAATTTCTATATGTATGGATGTTAGTGTGTGTGGAGGCATAATTTTGTTCACCTTGTTTGAAGCTTAATAACTCCTGTGCTTTTTGTTGAAAATTTCTGAAATTTTGCAAGGAAAATCTCCTTACAATATTTGTTCAGAAGGTTGTTAGGAAGATTGATGCTATTAAATTTTGGTGATTAAAGGTCGAGGGGTGGGGAGATAATGGGGGTTCTTGTGTATCTCCAGTAAGGTTGGACTTAATGACAATTTTACTCATTATTGTAAGCTCAACAAAAAGGGGGATAACTTTAATTATGCATCAGAGATGGCTAAGGGCATTCGTTTATATGGGTGGTGTGACAGAGACAGTGATGACAAGTGTCTTCATGGAGAAACCATTTATTTTTATGAAAAGTTCTTATATAGTCTGCTGATTAATTAGTCTTTTGGTAACAGTTCCTTTCAATGTAGGAGAGCAATGTGGCTTTGATCTTCTAGGTGTTTCATTGACATGTCATAGCTCTGGGGCAGACAAGAAAGTTCTTGGATCAGGAACATGGACTGGTAGGCAACAGAGTTGTGGTGTTCCCACAAAGAGGACGGCACAAAGTGAGAACAATTGGCTATCCAAGAGAGAGAGAAACTGCCTAATCTGACCTTGAATTTGGGGTTTTTATAGAGTTTTGTGGCACTTGGTCGTTTTCTGATTGGTTCTAAATTTCCCATCACACTCCTCGATTGGTCCCTTTATCATCTCCAGGTGAAAACCGAGACCATTTCAGGTCATAGGAAAGGTCCATTTCTGAAAATTTACCCTATGCTATCCTTTGACTCTGACCAGGAGATGTTGATGGAACTAAGAAGCCTGTACTCATATTTAACTTGTTATATCTATCTTTTACATCTTAGAATTCTAACAATTGTATGCAATGTTATCCCAATCATCAAACCTCCCCTTTTGTCCAATTTATCCTAATATTGGCCTACTGTTTACGAGCGCTGGTGTCAAGGCTCGATCTCTCAGTTGATGTTGGTATATCATCTAACACCTGTAAGAGTCATCTGGTAATGGCCTTTCTCACCTTTTTCATCACATTACTTGGATAGCTACATTTCTCTCTCTCCTACATAGCTTACACAATCTTTGTTCTGATTTAACTGTAACAATTGTCTTCTTTTATATAATATGCAATTAATTTGATTTTGAACCTTGTCTGGAACCTCAAATTATTAGCATTTACAATTTTTTATAAAACTCATCCCTACTCTCAAAATTAAGCTTTTTGCCATTTTATAATAGTTAAAAATATAAAAAATTGTTAATAATAAAATATCATAATGGATGGTAATATCAAATGCTGCCAGGAAAGTTAAGCAATTCATTGCTGAATTTTTTTTTAATTTCAGGGACTAAGTAATAATAATAATAANAAAAGATTTATTGAACAAATATCCACCAAACCAGTGTCAAAAAATGAAATAATCATTTCATTTTTAGACTTAATATATAATTTTAGATTTTTAAATACATAAAAATAATATACTCTTAAAACTTAATTGATTAAATTATATAAATTATATTGTTTCATTTTCTAGTTGACTCCTATTAATAAAGAAGTAAATTCAGAATTAATTACTGTTCATGATGATGATTTTGAAATGAAAAATTCACAAATTGTTGTATCAATAATTGTAAGTAAATAACATGATTAAATTATTTTACAATTAAATTTATAGTATAAAAATAAAAATTAAAACAAACTGCTTTGCTGGAGTTCATGTTAATTTACAAATTATTTTCTAGTACTTTTTAACAAGTCCATCATCAGAAGACAATTACAATACAAATACAAATGAATTAGCTTAGTAACTGTTTCCTAAGTCTACAAAACGACTAGATGTTACATCAATGATCTATGATTATTGTCACCCACTCCTAACTACCTATTCCTTACCAAGAAAACTACTTCATATCTCCCTCATCCACATATGCAACATTACTTATTCACTGTATGCATTTCTCATATCAGCAAAAATAATGACGAAAACTAACAGTAAGACACATTAGACACAAAATACCAAAAACTTCAACCTCTCTGCAGAAATAGTCTCACCTTAATTAGCCCTAAACATTACATATTTATTAATAATTATTTATGAGCCATTTCCAAGCATTTAATAATTTTTCACAGTCTCTTTCATTAATTATTTTCTCTATCAAACTCCTTTAATGTATCCATGTTTTTCAGCAATCTCCAAGCTACCTTTTTCTTTTATTTCTTCCAACATTCTCATCTCTTCCCACTTATCTTGCTTTTTTTTTGTTAGGGGCTTTTTGACATAGCATGGATAGTGTCTTTTCTTGTCCTGACATCTCTCTTCTATGTTTCTGTAGCCTCTACACAAATTTTATTCACCTCTTGAACTTGTAGTTGTTTTCACATTAAATAAAATTATAGTTTTATGTCTTATAATTTCTAAATTTTAAATTATATTTATAAATATAATTGTATAGTAATCACACTTATCTGTCCATTATTAAAAATTAAATGAATTTATTTAAAAAGCATATTTATCAATTGGTATTTTTTAATTAAAAAAATTCAGCTTATTCTTCTGTAGAATTATCTATTTTTTAGTATTAAATTTTAAATAAAAAATGTTTGTTTTTTTATTTATTCTAAAGCTTTCCAGATTTACAGGATTCTGAACTCTGGGCAGTCCAGCAGTCCTTAAGACATTGCATTGAAAAATAGCAGTAAAAAAATACATCTTTGAAACTCCAGCAACTCATTTATTCAGAACAAATGTTTTTGGCTATGTTTAAAGGCCTTTTCCAGATTGCTTTTTAATTGGACATCAAATGTGNTACATCTTTGAAACTCCAGCAACTCATTTATTCAGAACAAATGTTTTTGGCTATGTTTAAAGGCCTTTTCCAGATTGCTTTTTAATTGGACATCAAATGTGACATCAAATGTGTAAACATTTGATGTCCAATTAAAAAGTACAGTAACATACATGCAAATTCAAACTTTGCATTACTCAAACAAATTTTTTCAGAAAATTGTACAATAATTCAAAATTTTTTGACAATAGAAAAATTATAATTAATTAAAAGCATTTCAGTATCTAGAAATCTTTGCAATATTATGCATTACATTATAGTAATGGAGATGTTGGTTAAGTTTTGTGCAACTCTCTTCTCACAGTAATGGTTGAAGCCTTACAATAGTAATATATTTATTTTATACCTTTAATTTGATGAAATTTCTAGTTTAACAGCTATTGTTTTAGTTTACTTTTTAAAGATAATTTTATAATTAATAAAAAAGTTAATTTAGTTCAAATTTTAATTAAGAACAATGATGATGGGGTATTTGAACTTATGCAACATCCTTCTTCTGCTCACAACAAGAAGAATTTTTACATTATCTTAAAAAAACGACTAAATTATAACAAAAAGTCTTGTTATGAATTAAAGTTGTTTGCAGNCATGTAAATACAAATAGTGAATTTAACACAGTTAATGTCCAAATTGAATAAAAATTTTAATACAGATAGTTCTAATTTGTTGTAATGAACGTTAATTATATTTAAATCAGTATAGAATGCCATTTGAGATTAAAACTTTGCAAATTTTTAAATTTGGATAATAATATAATGAAATAAACTAGATAATAGATTTTTAATTAATTTTTTTTTTTTAATTTCTATTACTTGTGACTTATCAATTTACCTAAAAATAACTTCTACTCAAAATAATCTGTATAATATGAATATAGACAAATGATATAAAAGTAACTTCTACCATTTTTGATATTTATTAAATATAATTAATAATCATTGATGAAACAATAATTAATTATTAAGATTAAGATGTAAAATTAATATTGTTTACTCTAATAATATAGCATATACCATGATTATGAATTGACTTATTTAAAAATGATTGCACTCAATTATAAACTGAAAATAATTTCATTTTAATCAAAACAAAAGTTAAAATTTAGTTCTCTTTTCAGAAAATCAATATATTTATGTGAATAACTCTACAGGTGCAATACATTTACTAGACAATGCATCTTCACTACCCAAATCTTTTTCTGTTGATTTTACAGTCAAAACTCAATTTTTGCATTTGTCTAATAATTTTCAGGTAAAAAATTTATAATTTTATTTTAAAAAATTTTTAAATTATTTCTATTTTATATTTTTATACAACTCTGAGTCACATTCCATATTAACAGAATTGATTATTTTAAAAGATCCCCCATTAAAACACAAACAAAATCTTCAAATTCACTTTCAATTCACAGTGCATTTTAGAATTGAGGCAATATGATATTATAAATTACTGTACATTGTAAAGTTTTGTTAAGTAATATGCTAGAGAAATAATATACAAATGCCACAGAATAGGTAATGTTTGGCAGCTGTATTTTTCTATACTCTTTTGCATATAGGACTACAGTTACATTTCTTTTAATGTTTCTTTATAATATGAATTTAATAGCACTAGGTTTTTGGCTTTATGGAGGGCAAACAGCCTGTCTGAAATGCATACCGTCATCATAATAAACTTGTGTGTACCCACTTCTGTGTGACTATTCTGACAACACCAATAGTGTGTGATTATTCCATCAACTTATCATACACTATTGATGTTGATACAACATCAATAGTGTGTGATAAGTCCTCCTATAAAGCCAAAAACTTAGTGCTCATAGATTCATATTGTAACATAAGGACAAAAAGCAAATCACCAATTTCTTCATAATGTTGTATCAAAGACATTTTAAACATAATGTATGGTATGCTTCAAATTTTGATGCATGGTATAGTACATTTCAAAATTAATTGACAACAAATGAATATTTGTAAATACAAATCATTTTTGTTTTCCTGTTACTATATTAAAAAAAACTTGCGAAAATATCGGCTTTATTCAAGGTGTACATTGTAAATTAATTTTGTGTTTTTAATGTTTTTATGATAATTAGCATCCTAAACTACACTTCCAAGGATTCTGAAGATGAGTCAAAGTAGAAATAAAAATGTTTGTATTAACCAAAAAAATTTATAAAATTTTATAAATACATAATTTTCTTATTTAAAAATATGTTTCTAATTTGAACTTAAATATGTCCCATTTATTAAATTTTATATTTCATTTAAATATAAATTTTAAAAACTTTAAAGAAAAAGGAAAAATTTATTCCTCAAACATGTTATTTTTAGATTAGTGGTTAGTGACTTATGCCTTAGATTATGACCACTCAATGAGAAAACACCTTCGAGACTAAGTTATAACAAACATGGAAAACTTTAAACTCATTTTACTTGTGAATGCTTGAGAGTTGTGTCAACTGGCTTTATTATTGATTTATAATAAGGTAATGTTATAATATATATCAAACTGGTTGACATCTGAGGGGGCCAATGTTCCCTTTTTAGTTTTATTTATATTTTATTCATGGTTCAAAACTTTGTTTTAGGATCATGAATAAAGTAATGGAAATCATTTGTAGAGTGTGGAAACCAAAAGTAACTGCCCTGGATTCCATGAGCTATAAGTTTTTTATATATTGTTAAGTGACTAAATATTAAAATCTTTTGTTGCTCTGCAGTTTTTATATTATAGATATCCATGCATGTTAATTACATTAATTTTTAAGTAATTTTTCTTTTCTTATTAGGTAAATGGAATAAATATTTTGAAATTAATAAAGAAGATGGAACACTTTATTTGATTTCTTTCAATATCGAAATGTTGGAAGAAGAAAAAATTAATTTGCCAATAATAGTATGTATGATCATTAATCAAATCTTAATCATTGATAATGTTTTATTAATAACCGTTAGGCAATTTGCTCATTAAAATTAATGAATTATGTAATTTTCAAAAAATATTATCTTAAAAGCAATCTAAATTAATGGAGTTTATTAATCTAGTTTTGCATTCTAATTTTTCTCTATGACATCAAAGCTAGAATAAAATGGCATCAGTTTGTTTGATGATCATATTTATTAAATTATAATAATAATGTAAAATTTTTATTTATTGTGTTCAATGTACAGGTGGTGTGGAATTTAATATTAACAACAGATAGATGGTCTATTATGTTATCTACTAGATTTTTCATCATGATACTCAATTCCACAATGTAAACTGAATAACACTGATGCTAAAAAAACAAATTTTTAAGGAGTCCACAGATTGTTTTTATTTATGAATGAAAATTGTTTTTTTGGAATAATAGCTCCCATCAGCAGGTTCTATCATGTGGCTGTATCCCATAATTTTAAGTTAGAATATTCTAGTTTGTAGCTTCTGTCTTCGCTTTTTGTCTTTTCCCGTTTCTGGAATTATCTGTTTTCCTCATTTCCACTTCACTTGGTTCATGATTGATGTTCTAAACTGTTCCATAGAGAGAGAAAATGTCTAAGGGTCTAAAAGGTGAGAGGGAACATTTTTCAGACCAGGAAGAGGGTTTAGACAGAAGGAGACAGTGGTGAGAGGAGTTTGATTCAGACTATTGCAAGGGACTGAAGAATTTCTTGAAGGCTTTGTGCAACAAAAAACCTGAGATGTCAATTAACCATTGATAAAGTGAGATTCCTTTGATCGCTACAAAAGGATACATCAACCTCCCCAAGATAAAAAAGGACCAATAAGAAAGATCATTGAGAATCATTGAACATAATCATCTCTGTAAAAAGGAATCAACCAAGTATGGGTACCCTTTTCCTTTCTCTTTCCTTTGTGTATTTCAATTTTCCATTTCCTGTCTACAGCTATAAGTTAATTTAATTAATTTATTTTATTTTATTTATAATATATTAATTTAATTTAATAGTTTAATTTAAGTTAATTGTAAGGATTTTGTAGTACTTAGTTGCACCCGCTAATGAAATTTTAAAACGTGGGTATTTTTTTGCTGTCTTTTTGCATGAGACCACATGTCAGGTTCATTGTTTTTTTTTTTTTTTTTGTTTGCTTGGGTAGAGTTGGTCATTAATTCTTTCCTTTTGTGTTGCCATTAATTAATTATTAAATAAATTGTTGTTTAAATAACATACTGTCTAATTGTATTATAGTGTCAACTTTGTGGCTATACGACAGAAAAGTTTTACTCACATTATATAGAATAGAACAGTATTTTTCTATGAAAAAGAACAATTCTTTCAACTTGTAGCTGTGTTATGCCAGATGTCATTGATCTGATAGCATCACTTCTGGAAGGAAGAAAAGAATATTAAAAATCATCAACTTTATTGTAACATTATCACAATGCAAGGCTGCAATTTTTAATTATACTTTAATTTTTAAATTAAGCTTCCATATCTGCTCTCAATTTTAGTAGTGTCTTGTACATAATACTTCTTCTGAAGCAATTAAGTCATGTCATTTATCTAACACTACTCTTGAGAAAATTTTTGAGTTGAAATCACAATTTCTGGTCCAGTCTGGAAGTTTATATACACAAGTATCCCATGCTTAATGCGGGATTTGATTATAGCGCAAAATTAATTGTGGAAATTTCCTTATATATACTGCAGAGGTTTTTAATTTATGTGGCTTTACCAGATGTCTTTAATTAATGTAGATATCGTATTTTGATTAACACAGTTTTGATATACATGGTAGTATCAAGGGATTAATTAACCGCATTAATCAAGAGGCTGATACCTGTAGTTAATCAGGCCTCTGGCCCCTAAGCTTTCTAAATCTGATCTTGAATTTTATCAATCTAATTCCATTCTTGAGATTAATGAAGAACAGACAGATGATAGTGGGGTCTGCAATATGAAAATTGCAGTCCAAAATTGAAACCAAAATGAATGTATAAGAAACCATATTTATTTATTATTAAATATGTAGTATATAATTATTAAAACTAGAGTTGCTGCCAGTAGTGAATGGATGCAAATAATATCAATAGGAAAAATGTATATGAGGTAGACAGCAGCTGTAAACAACACTATACCCATTGATATAAAAATGATGTTTGCATACTAGCTGAAGGAGAGGTTTCCTGTGCTAGCACTGCTAGGTTGGATTACTACTTGGTGTCTCAATATTATTATTATTATTTCTAATTTTGCAATTTATGACTGCCCATTGATCATTAATATATTTATAGGATTTATTTTTAATCTGGTGTTACCTAAGCTGTTTTATGTACATTTATCTGTAAGTTTTTATTTTCTCAACACGAAATTGAGTTAACATCAATTCCAATATACACTATTCAGAAAGTATTCAAATATTACAATGCTTTAGGTTCCAGTTATATTCAGACATTTTGTCTTTCTGCAATAATTATGAATTAATCTAATCTGTGAATTTTCTTACATGACAATACTATTGTCAACAAACAATCAAAAATATAGGGGAGAGGAGGTGCTAGTATGTGAAAAGTTCCTCAAATTTTCATGTTGCATAATCACTGTCTTCTCGTTGTCTCATCAATTGGAGCAGAATCCATTCACTTTCACAATTCTTCCTTTGCACAGTCCTGTTGTCACTGGTTGCCTTCATGTTCTCGTGATTGCATTGAAAATAAAATAGTCATTCTTTCAACCATGAGTCACTATATACCCTCTCTTGGTCCCCTGCTGAGTTTATTACCCCTCCAGGAAATAACAGGCGATGGAACATTCTAGAAGTTTATACACAAAGTTATTATTAACTGAAAAAATTCAATCATAAATAATTTAGATTTTATTTTAAATGGCCTTTACGAAACATCTCATTATTTGAAAAAAAAAATAAAACATTTGGACTATATTTGTTTTAAAACATATTTATTTTTCATAATTCAAAATTATTCGCANGAATTTCACGTTGTAGGAATCTTTAAATGCATGAGCCAATCGCAGCCCGACACGTGTGAAGTTTACGGACTACGGCTGTTTGAAAGGTTTTCTTCAATAAAATTAATCAATTCTAGACTAATTCGACTCAACATTTCCAAAACACGTATAATTTAAGATGTATAATAACTTTATGTAAAATAATTTCATAATATCATTTATGAATAAATTATTTTTATTTTTAAAGTTGAAAATTTTAATATTTTATACTGAAATATATATAAAAATATTTTATCTGTAGTTTCAAGGGAAATTGAAATAAAGTCACTGAATTAAATATTTGAAAAAGAATTTACAGAATAAAAGAAAATGTAGATATTTTAATTATTATCATCAGATATCAATTGTATATTGATAGTTTTAGAAAAATTATATATATAAAAATTTTTTGCTAATTATAAATAAAAGCTTTATTTAATGTAATATGCATATAATAAACTAATTGTAATTTTAAAATGATCATTTCAACTGAAATTGTTACTTTTTTAGTCTATTACTTGATTAATATACATATATGTATGTGGGAATATTAAAAGTTAATATATATATATATGTATATATTATTTTTAGGCATATCAAGCTGACTTTGAAGAAAAAACTGGATATGCTTGTTTAACAGTCTTCTTTACAGTAAATGCTTCTGTACCATATTTTATTCATCAAATTAATATATTAGATAAATCACTTAAGGATGATGTAATATATTTAATGGCTGCTGATGGAAAAAATCTTACATATGATACAAATGGTATGTTTTAAAAATTTTTTAATTTATAAATTTTTAGATAATATATATTATTAACTTTAAAATAAAATTAATATATGGTAAATATGTAAAGAAAATTTGTCTTTTATTTCAGTTATCACCTGTCTTTGGATAATTTATAAGTATTTATTCTAATTTAGTGAAGTTACATAGTTTCAGTCTTCTTGTACTTATTATTATTATTTAACTCTTTCCATCCTGTGGGCACCTCTTTTAATGAGCCTATTATGGATTCAGCGAGGTGGTGAGGGATGAGGCCCAGTATATCCAAACAAACCACCTCCAAAAAATTCCTGTGGATTTTTTTACCCATTCGGATTGGATCTTGGATCCCCAGAGCGATAATCTGCCACCTTGACTGCTCAGCCACCCGGCTGTCCTTCCTATGTTTATGTAGGCATATTCTGGAGAATGTTTCTTTAGTTAACTCGGTGCTCCTCCTGATTGGATTTTTAATTCCATTATTCAAGGGTGAGCACCGAGCTCAGTCTACATATTTTTGTATTCTAAATGATTTGTCTTGAGAAATTTTACTAAGATCAGGAAATTTTATTATGAATAATACACACTTTATTAGAAAATACAGAAGATACAAAAACATCTTCACTTCCGCCCTTTCCAACTACCAGAAACTAACAAACAATCTCCCTTTACAGAGACAACCGTTTATTGTAGGCTACAATTCTGCTACAATATGCAAAACAGTCTTAAAATGTTCACTGATGATATGCCTTAAAAACTTGTAAAAATTGTTTACTTAATTTGAAGACTGTTGATTAGTTCCTGGTGGTTGGAAAGGATGGAAGTGAAGACATTTTTTGTACCTTCTGTATTTTCTATATTTTGTAAATATATCATCTGCCAAATATATTATTAAAAATTTGTTTAATTAAATTGCCTCAATGTCCTTTTTTCCTCATTAATATGTAAATTTTTCGACTATAAATTCGACTTTCATCTATTATCAGGACTTATTATACTGGTTTTACAGATAATATTACAAAGATTAACAGAAAACAATTTTTATTTTATTTCATATACCTGTGAAATGAGGTGTGGGACAAACAGAAAGAGAACAAATGTAAGTTGTAATAACAGAAAATAAATGTATAAAATTGATATGATGTAATAGAATTTGGTTTAATGTAGGTTTAAAATAATAGTAATTGCGATATTGTTGATAAAATTTGAATATCCAGTGGAGCAAGAAATTAAAGAAAACTAGGGAAAAAAAAAACAGGTATACGAAATAAAATAAAAATTGTTTTCTGTTAATGTTTGTAATATTATCTGTAAAACCAGTATAATAAGTCCTGATAATAGATGAAAGTCGAATTTATAGTCGAAAAATTTACATATTAATATCATCTGCCATTTTAAATTAAGTACACATTTTAATGTTTATTTTACTTTACTTCAGTTAGAATACAAAGTAATTTCAATATAGAAACAGAAAATTGATATGTAACCAGATCAATAAAAACAAATTCATTATCTGAAATTATTATTAAACTTAATTATAATTTCTATTCAAGTTCTGAATCTGTTTACTCTAGATTTTTAAAATTGCATTGTTTTCAGATTGTTATTATGTAGTATCTGTAGATACTACATAATCTGTTAGTGCAATAGGCTACATGTTACACTCTTAGATGCTGTTTTCCTATTTTGTTTTTTTGAACAATATGTACACTTTTCTCTTGATACTAATGTTGCCTGTGGAGGATCTGGTTTCTTTCTCAACACTTCTAGGATTTTCAAACAGAGAACCTCATTTTTATTGTCTGCAAAGAAGTAGTCTACATTTTCTTCCTCAGACTCTTCATCAAATATATTCCATAGGCAATGTTAGAAAATGACATACACAAAATATATTATGACAGAGCCAAAATCACAGATAAAACAATTCATCACAATAGACCTGACATCACTCTCATTGACAAATGCAGTAAGATTGCTTATATAATAGACATCTCCATTCCAAACACTCATAAAATAAAAATTACTCATACTGAAAAAAATCAATAAGTACACTCCACTTGCTCCAGAAATAAAACAAATGTAGAGAATGGATAAGGTATTTATTGTACTTGTTGTCCTTTCTTCTACTGGTGTCATACCACATACACTACACAAAAGTCTTTCTAGACTTAATAATAACATATACAGTAGACCCCCCCTATAATGCTTAGATATGTTTCACNTATTTTTTTGAAGTTTTATGTTACACTCTGATTTGACCACTTTATGCAAACTAATGGTCTACTTTGCATTATTATATTTTAGGTAATATATAATTCTCAAATAACAGGGAGTAAGGATAAGGAAAGACCATTATTAAGCCAACAGGAAGCAGTAGCAGTAGCAGTAATAATAAAATAATACTAAAATATCAGAACAGATTAAATGCAATACTAAGAACACACCTAAATGCAAAATAAACTATTAAAGCAATTAATACATTTTTTGTCCATGTATAAAGTTTCTAGATGTAGACACATACACCATACATACATGTATACACTTATTCTTTTAAAAATATACTGAACACACACAGATCTTGAGCAACTCCAAAGAAAAACAAGAACACTTACTAAACATAAACAATATCACCCAAAATTGTCCATAGAAAAATTAACTCTTTCTCATAAAGAAGGTGAATATCACCATAACCTGACTAACATAGTTAACCTCAACTGCAAACACTGTGGGAGTTTTTCCACAAAAAACAAGAAACATCAAGATTACATACAGCTATAACTCTGGCAGAAAGTAACAGTACACCTTTAAACAGTCAGAGATCCAAAAGTCACTTCAAGGCAGGCATGCCTACGACTATACCAAACTACTAGGGACTGCTTGTTTGGAGAGACACTGGGGTTTATGGTTGCCATTAAAGATCAGGTCATAAATACTAAAAACTACAGAAAACACATTCTGAAGGACACATCACTCACAAAATGACTCTTACAGAAAACAATACAATATATAACCTCTGGTTGCAAGCTCTTAGCACAGACAATTTACATAGGCATAATCAAATAGAAAATATAATACATCAAGAATTTGAACACAAACACAATTATGAAACACCCACAGACTCTTCATCAAATATATTCCATAGGCAATGTTAGAAAATGACATACACAAAATATATTATGACAGAGCCAAAATCACAGATAAAACATACTACTATGCTATAATACTATGCTATAAACAAAAAATTGTAGGATTACTTATCGAGTGTGCATCGTTCGACATCGCCGTTGCTCAAGCTTGTTTTTGTCGTGGAGCAACGCACCAAACAGCGGCCGCATTTTCTGATAAGTTATTTTTCTGCGAGAACTTCGTTGAACTTTGGAGACATCATTAATATAAATAATTTTTATGTCCGTTGAATANTCGGCGACGACGTTTTACGAGTCCCTTTATACGAATACTGCCGCAATTTTTTCGCTACGTTATAGGAATTTCTGTTATAGGAACCCACGTTATAGGGGGATCAACTGTACTATACATGGCACTACAGAAATCTGCAATATTGAACACATGTCACATTGTAAAGGAAGTTTCTAGACATCGACACATTCACCAATAACACAACTTAATGTTACGATTGTTTGAGTGGCTATGCCTTGACTTTAGTTTGGCATAGCATTTGGTATTAGTATCAGCTGAGCATGACATTTAAACATAATTAATCTAGTACTAATACTGGAAAATTGGAATTATCATAATTTTACAGCACCTAACCAATTGCAATTAATTTAGACCTTTGTCTTTTGTCACTGAATTTGATAGATTCTAGAGACTTGAAAAAAGTAAAGAAAAAATTCTGTTTCATATCTGATTAAATTACCCAATTATATAGATATCTATTTTAATTGTTATCACACATGTAAATACAAATAGTGAATTTAACACAGTTAATGTCCAAATTGAATAAAAATTTTAATACAGATAGTTCTAATTTGTTGTAATGAACGTTAATTATATTTAAATCAGTATAGAATGCCATTTGAGATTAAAACTTTGCAAATTTTTAAATTTGGATAATGATATAATGAAATAAACTAGATAATAGATTTTTAATTAATTTTTTTTTTTTTAATTTCTATTACTTGTGACTTATCAATTTACCTAAAAATAACTTCTACTCAAAATAATCTGTATAATATGAATATAGACAAATGATATAAAAGTAACTTCTACCATTTTTGATATTTATTAAATATAATTAATAATCATTGATGAAACAATAATTAATTATTCCATTTTTGATATTTATTAAATATAATTAATAATCATTGATGAAACAATAATTAATTATTAAGATTAAGATGTAAAATTAATATTGTTTACTCTAATAATATAGCATATACCATGATTATGAATTGACTTATTTAAAAATGATTGCACTCAATTATAAACTGAAAATAATTTCATTTTAATCAAAACAAAAGTTAAAATTTAGTTCTCTTTTCAGAAAATCAATATATTTATGTGAATAACTCTACAGGTGCAATACATTTACTAGACAATGCATCTTCACTACCCAAATCTTTTTCTGTTGATTTTACAGTCAAAACTCAATTTTTGCATTTGTCTAATAATTTTCAGGTAAAAAATTTATAATTTTATGATTTATATATGTGTGTGTATAGGATTGTTTTGAAAAATTTGTGCCAGTTTTTTTATTATAAAATTAATTTAATTACTTACAGGAACAAAGAATCTCTCTCTCTCTCCTGCTTGGGGATGTTTCCTCAGTCTTTTGCATCATCTGGCAGTGCCATAGTCCATCTTTCTTTGCTTATTAAATCTATCCTATCTTTCTTATCTAACATTGGTACAGTCGATCCCCCCTATAACGCGGTAGATATGTTCCACTTTATAGGAATTTTGCGTTGTAGGAATCCTTAAATACATGAGCCAATCACAGCCCATCATGTGTGCAGTTTACGGACTATGACTGTTTGAAAGGTTTTCTTCCATAAAATTAATCAATTCTAGACTAATTTGACTCAACATTTCCAAATTATGTATAAATTTTTGGGACTAATCCATATAAACTATGCTATAAACGAAAAATTGTAGGATTACTTACCGAGTGTGCACCATTCGA